GGAATTACACGTTAACATTTGAAAATATTTTTGAGGAAAGAAACTTGTTTGAGTAAAATCAGTATTGAACTGTTTAGTGTAGTCACTTCTGTTGTTGTAAGTTATAAATTTGCGTTAAGTCGGAACACAAAGTGTTCTTTGTGCTGGTTACAGAATTGACACGTCCGTGTATTGTATTCTTATAGTTGTGCAGTACCGCGATGTTATTTGAATGCCCTTAACTTACACAGCCTCTGTCTGAGGCTTTGAAATGGAACTCTGCGAAAACTGGTTTCAAAATGCGGATATCGGTAGTGTGGTGTGTCGACCACATCCATTAGCCACGGTCTCGCGACCTCTGAAAGCCAGCTACCTTGCTATAGGCGTTAGCGCTGTTCATTATGTTATAATATGACCGGCGCGTAAGTTTCTGAACGTTATTTTACTTGGGTAAGAAACATGGTAAATCGAAAATAAAGCTCCGACCGGGATATTAATATATTCTGCTAAGCACAGGTCCTGAAAAGAGAGATATTAAAACTGATGGAGCGTATTCAATTTAAACGTATTTACCCCAGTTTAGAGATGACTGTCTTCTGGGTTGTTGTGCCGTGTGGTCTGTTAGAAGTTTACCGACGTTTCAGAGGTTCTTGCTGTCTCCCGCATCATTTTCTACCAAAAAAGGCAACCATCTTCGAACTCACCGTCGTGAAAACCTTACCCCAGTGGCATTTACTTCCTTTTTGTGCCATTCTGTTTGAGGTCAGATGTTGACCTTTGTCGTCCGATGCTCGATGCGAGCTGGCTTCGTGGTATTGGTCGCGCAGGATTCGAATTGGAATTCAACTGTTGTTTATCGACAGCGGCGCAAGGCGTCAGGGGATTCCTGGGTCATTCCGGAAATGTTTCTGGTTACGGGATGTTTCCTATTTCTGTGTAGAAATCCAGCGAGCGGCGTTTAGGACGACGCACGAGAAGCGATCTTGACCCCGCGTTTCATGTTAGGTCAGCCATTGCCATTTCGGTTTGGTTTTTGTCGAGTCCAGCTACGTTGAACACTTGCTGCTGAGACAGACTAACACTTTTACGTGTGTTAGTCTTGTGGATTATAGTGCCGTGTGGACTTGAAAAAGTAGGTAAAACGTTTCGGAGGAACTTATTGCTTCCTTCGTCAGGGCTGAAAATGGATGCAACATGTTCCTTCGGGATGTTGGTATCTACCTACAAGTCCACACGATACGCCTTCATGACGTGGTTATTAATTAAGCTCATGAATGACTTTACATAAGAAATGAAACTTCTCTCTCCAGTCTTATAGTATGTTATCGTAGTTCAGTGCTTTTACTCAGTTATTATTGGCCATGTTAAATTTCTCGCAGTCTCTACAGTGGTTTTATTTATCAGGCATGCCTACAAATTTATTTTAAAAAGTAGAGCCATGTCAAGGAATAAGTACGCTCCTTTGACAACAACACCGTTTTTTTAAAAGAATAGCCGCTTATAGTTCCCTCTGTCGATCGCGTCGCGAAACTGCCGGAGCTCCAGTACAATGAAGAGCTGATGAGCCTCTGTCACCTGATTGCTGATGTGATTAGGCTTGATGAGTGGTGCACTCGGTGCTAGGGGTCCTATGTTTAGAACCCGCATCGTTGTCGATAATGTGACATTCCACCCTGGATGATCGAGGGTTTAATCAGTCATTATCCCGCGACGGCACGGCTTCTGCATGGAAATGTCGACCATTAAATAATATCGCGAACGGGAAGGAAACCGCCCAGGAAGTTGCAAGGCGTTTATCAGACTACGGCTTTAGAATCTGCTGTCAGCTCCAGACTTCTGGGTAATACGGATACAGGGCATTGGTTGGATTCATCTGGCTAAGGATAGGGACCGGTAGCGGGCTCTTGTGAACACGTAATGAACCTCGGGGTTTCATGAAAGGCGGCGAATTTGTTGTCTAGCTGAGCGTACTCTTCGGTTATTCCACTGGCTTACTGTCTCAACCGGCGGCCTCGTAACTGTTTTGGGGGTTTTATATCGTCTCTTATTGGACAACAGATGTAATTAGACTGTGAAATTGTGATAATTTTGAGACATTTTAGCCTAAATGTTTGAATTAATGTATTTCGAGCACAAAAGTGTCAAATAGTGCGTTGACCAGATACAAAGCGTGATGAAACGTCGTCTAAGATTGCTGTTGAGTGCTGAGAATAGCATGAAGTTGATGAGAATCTGCAACTTTCCTCCTGGGATAACACTCAGTGGTTTTAGAACTTATGCTTCAAATCGTATCACCGATTTTAACGCGAGGTTACATACTCTTCACGCTCGAAATGAGTAATGTCTGAGTTAATGGCTTACTGCTGCGCCTGCAGCGTGCGGTTTAGATTACACGTTAAGCAGTGGAGGCGGAGAAGTTGCCTATACAGCACGGCGATCCAACGTGATTTACTCCTAGTCCAATTACATTTTTAATGTGTGGGGAAAGAATCCTATAGATTTACACATAGCAACGTGAAATCTAACACACTGTAAATAACCAGACATGCGAAGATAAACTGACGTCTGGTTTGTAGCGCCGTGTAGTATGGTAGAAGTTTCCCAACGTTTCGGAGGTCATTGTTACCTCCTTCATCAGGGCTGTCATCACCCTACAACCCAGAAGACATCTAATCTTCATACTCACCGTCGTTAAAACTTCAAATCCTAATCGGAGAAGTCAATAGGCATCAATGAATTATAAAACTTATCAGAATCGACTGGTTGCTGCTCCAGATATGTGCGTACAGTTGGTTATCTTCCGAGTTAAGGTGTATTACATGATTTGAGCGTAATTTAAAATTAGAATTGGAATTTATGATAATGGTTTTAAATTGGAAAAGTTCGTCGCACGCGGCTTTACGATGAAACTTCTGCAGAGGGTGGGTCGTTACTTTTAATTAACTCGCCCGTCGCCAGGTGCAAGCTGTCTCTCTTAATCCCATTTGCACGCGCGGGGGGGGGGAGGCTCATCCACTCAGCTGCATCATGCGTAATCATACCTACTTTCAAAGTCACGGTTACAAAGCGCCACTTTGTTTTCTGTCACCCCTATAAAGCACACTGGTTCTTTATGTGCTGCAGACTTTAACATTGAGTAACTATGTTTTTCAAAATAACCAGCGATTATTCTCCTAACAAGACGCAACCCTCGACACGCTAACGATTGCATGACAGATTATTAATTCCGGAATTATAAATTTACAAAGATTGGGTACTTTTACTTTTAAACTCTTGTCAGTAGGTTTTCGCTGCTGGAGTTCAATGTATAATTTCAGCTTTAGGGTGTTTGCCGAAGTTAAACATTTTACCTTTAAAGTTTAAACTTATTTAGGTCTGTTTGAAATATGTCATGTCAAAGACACAGATGTTACGCTTATTAAGCGGATAAAAGAGAAAGGCACGAGTCACTTGCATATTTTGTTATCCTTTTAAGAAATTTGACATTTAATTTCAGTGACGATGTAAGCATTGATGTCTCCATTCCATCCCACCTCAGAATGCTTATTAAATACGTCACGACAACTTCGTTTCGCATAAAATTATAGGAGTCAAAGTTACTAAACTGAGTTTCATTATCGCATAAAAATATTTGAACCAATTAAAGGTCTCTGATATCTCTGAACTAGAAGAGGATTTCGCCAAACGAACACGGAATGTTGCTGCCAAATAGTTTGCACCCCTGCTTTATACTCAAGAAATCTCAGGTTCGAGTCTCGACCCCAGACCGTCTCTCCTGACTACTAAGAGCTATGATGAAGGCAGCAGGCATGTCTGAAACGTCGGTAAACTTCTGGCGCAACGTCCCAGAGGATGGTCTTCTCCGTTTGTTGGGTAAAAGACACGAAGCGATGTATTCTCTCAGTTTTAACTTACGACATTTCAGTGCCAGATATGTGAAGATGTTTACGTATTACGAAAAAAAAAGTTGATTGAGGAATGTAGACAAGGAACAATTGACAGTCGGGTTGTTGTTACCAGCACCCACGCGATAGACACCCCCCCTGTCACTCTCTTTATACGCCACCCCGGCATTGAAACCACCGCCGCCATATATTTGAAATTCAATTGGGGGATCTTCAAGTACCCTGGAACCTCACCAGCGACAAAGTACAGACTGACACACAAGTCTCTGCACTGCGGTGTTGTCGTTTGTTCCTTCCGAACAAATCTTCAAAAGTGCGCAGTTCATTTGTGATTATCCTGTAAGGCGTCGTCGCAGCGAAATGAGAGGATCATTTAGCATTGGACAGAAGAGCGTTCTGGAAATCCATCCATTTCCATCAAAATACACTGAAGGGGGGTGAGGAGGGGGAGGAAGGAGCTGATAGTCCCCAATTATGACGTCATTAGAAACCATTTGTGATCCAACGTCGAATGAATAAAATATTTACGTATTTTGCTTTGAGGCTCGTGATTCAGCGTTGGTTTGGCTGGGTCGTTTTTTTAATCTTCTTGTGCTTCTTGGTATAAATGTTTGGCCTCAATTGACGGAACGTCGTAGATGAGTGGTCAGCACTCCTTCGTATGTGGGAGGACCCGGGTTCAAGTCTCGGTCCGGAGACCGACTTTTCTGGCTGAAGTTTCTCGCGGTTTTCTTGAGTACACCCAGGAAATTCTGGGATAGTACCTTACATTAGGCAACCACCGCTTCCTTTCGCGTCCCTTCCAGCTCATTATTCATGGTAATCCTCTTATCCGGATCTTTTATAGCCTAGTTGGCGAAAGCATCGTTAAATAAATAAACATTTAACGTAATTTGTGGCTGGCTGGATTGCTCAGATCGCAGTAGACAACATTTATGGCATTGGCACAAATGTTTTCACCGACTCCAATTCTAATTTTTATAAATTAATTGTTTAATCTGCCTCCTTGGATGAGCGTTGTTCAACTCGACGTTTCGTTAATTTGAAATCGAATTGTTTTCAGTACTGAAAGTCGACGTATCGTGCGAAAGATTGACGTACTTTTTTTCGCCGTAGGTGTGTCAGAACTGGAGCTGACGGTGGAGCCTCAGGACACCGTCGTGGTGCCGGGCAGTGCCGCCATATTCAATTGTGCCGCCACCAGCTCGAACCCAGGCGTGACCCCCACCATCCGGTGGCGAGAAGACGGGCAGTTTCTGTCCTCCATCGGCGACCAGTACAGGTGAGGCGTCGTTTTCCGTGCGCACGCATTGCGTTTAAATAATAAGAACGTTTTGTTATTGACAAGAGAGTAATGTTTATATATATATAATATTGATTCGAGATTTAAATAAGTTATTACGTCTTATAAATGTTGATAGATAAATTCTGTGTAGAATTTCGTTGATGAAAAGGATTTTGGTGCATTTGAGGCAGGTGGCTTATACAGTGTAAAATTAGTCCCATTATACATTGAATAAAATTTAATTATTCTACTACAATATTTGGCTCAACAAAAAGTCAAATTGGCAGACGAATTACTCACTTTTTCTAGCAGGCAGTAGACTTGTCAGAATGTGGAGTATTGACAATTAGCAATTGAAATATGCTCACATATCGCGGGGGGGGAGCTCTAATGGAGAAACCTCGCAGAAACGTAACACTGTGAAATGTGTAAGGAATTATCACCGTGGGAAAACTTTTAATGCAAGTAAAATTTATACAAGCAGCAGGCAAAGAGACTGTTAAAAACGTTTGTAAACTTGTTTATTTCTGAATATTTCCGTCTTCTGGGTTGTTGCGCTGTGTAGTCTGGTCGATGTTTATCAACGTTTCAGAGGTCATACTGCCTCCGTCATCAGAGTATGAAGATTTCTGTCTTCTGGGTTGTTGCGCTGTGTAGTCTGGTCAATGTTAACCAACGTTTCAGAGGTCATACTGCCTCCGTCATCAGAGTATGAAGATTTCTGTCTTCTGGGTTGTTGCGCTGTGTAGTCTGGTCAATGTTAACCAACGTTTCAGAGGTCATACTGCCTCC